CTAAGCATTGCATTCTGTAAGAAGTTGGCCCTTTTCCACAGAAATAGATATAACGGAACTCCCCTATCCAAATCTCTTGGATGTATGGACTTTTGTTACACGTAATCAGCGTGAAGAAAACAAAGGATCATAGGCTCACTGCCATGTGGAGGTAAGGAAAAGGTGAGTCAGACAACAAAATGAATATCCACATGGCTCTGAGTTTGTAGGAGTCCAGTATATAGAAGGCTGTGTATCAGGCAAAAGCATTAACTTGGAATCTGAAAGCCATCAATCATAGAGGGCTGACTTGCAAATCACAACTGGTGATGGACCTGGGAATCGGGGATGGGGATTGGGGGAGAAGGTCAAGAGCAAAGCTCAGTAAGCTGCAGAGTTGGAGGGATAGAGATGGAGGAGTACCCACATCCTCTAGCATTCAACTTAGTGCTTACTAAGCAGGTATGTAAGTAGTGCTGAATTTACTAAGTAGTGCTTATGGAGTAGGGCTTAATGGAATTAAGACTATAAAGATTTGTTACCATTCTGCTGGTTCAAGTCGTACAAAGCTCAAGTGGTGTTCATGTGAACCACAATGACACGTGATTCGGTCCAATGATGTCCCCCCATACCTGTGCATTACTTTTCAAAATGGCACCAACACTGACCACTCCCTCGCCATTGAAGAGTTTAAATCTTTAATCTATTCCGGCGTTTGAGTGTTACTGTTCTTGAATGATTCAGCTCAACACTGGTTGCAGGGCAACGGGAAACATTCAAGGTGCCTTGAAATCAATGGGAAGAACAAAGACGCTTATTTCCTCTATAGGGGAGTGATTATTCTGTGGTAGCAGAAGACAATCCACAGGGTTTTCTGGGGACAGCTGAAAGTTAGCCACACTTCTACCTAGCTTGCTCCTTTACCCCCATCATTCCGGTGGCTATGCAGGTATGCAGGAATAATATTTGGACATTAGCTCTGTGCTCCATTAAGTTTAAGGGTTGCTATTCTGACTGCCTCCTACACAGGATACGTTAAGGAGACAGAGAGGAATTTCCTCTTACTGCATCCTCGATCCAACCCTTCTGAACACGATTGCACCTACTCTAACAACATTCTAGCCTTTTCTCTTGTGTCAACAGTTCAAGCTTCATATATAGGACTGAGTTGCTATTTTTCTTAAAAGGAAGCTTTTCCACCAGCTAATATTAACAGCAATGTTTTCCCGAATTAAGGAAGAAGAAGAAGAAAGTCAATGGAACCATTTTATATTTTTAAAACATTCCCCTCCAGAGCCCACAAGCCAAACAGTACAGCATTGTGCTAGCACATGGAACCGGCTATAAACAGACTGTCTGCCTTTGCTGTTAAGCTGAGAAAAGTCAGCATAAAAGGTGGACAAGGAAATCTGTACGTTACACATTTGCTGTTTACAAGGCATATGTTGAAAAAGTTTTGCCAGTAGAACAAGATGACATTTTTTTCAATCTGGGATCATTCCCTTGCCATTGCAGAGCCCAGGATTCTATATCCAACACGTTCTGAAAATGCAAACCCTTCCTAATTTAAGTTATGTCAGTTACCACCAGGTACAGACAGTATTTACTTATCTCCCCGTTACCTGGCATGAAAGGGCAATATCACTTCTCATGCTGCCATCAGTTCTCCATACACCACAAAGTGCTGTATTCCAGCAAGGGAGATTGCTGGAACAGCAAACACCCTACAATTAAAAAGAGAGGTAGGCAAAAAGACAGTGCTGGAGGTGAAGAAGCATAACCGAAAGAAAGGTCAAAAGTGTAATGGCATATAAAAGTCAACTGCTCTACAGGCGGGTAGCTTTGCGTCAATTCATAATTTTATTGTATACCTAACAGACGCAGGAGCTGGATTTTTACTGTTTGCTGGAGGAAATACTTGTCAGTAAGTATCCTGGATAATTTAATGTTCTGGCACGATGTTAACACTTCACACTAGGAATCTCGGCTTCTCTAACTATATTAAATAACTATGTTAATGCAGTATTTGAAGGTGCTTCCTGGCACAGTCTTTACCTTATGCCAGGAATGGGGAACTGGTGAACCCCCAAATGTTATCGGATTGCAATGTCTACTGTTCCTGACAACTGGCCTTGCTTCTTGGAGTTGATGGGAGTTGAGAGTCCAGAAAACATCTAGAGGCCACAGGTTCTGCATCCCTACCATGCGCTATTGACAATACTGATAAGAAAAAACAACACCTTTCCGAAACAACACAAAAAATGCCCATGGAACATGGCCATGCTTTCTTTCCATTACCATCGGCGGTGGCATACGTACCGACAAACATTTCTACCACAGTCTTACTGCACTTCCTGCTTATGCGTCCCAGAGCTATTATGAAAGTGTCTAGACATGTCCAAATATGTAGAATCCAGTCTCTTTTCTGTGATCCTAGGGAAACTGCTTAGCACTTTATGGTATAATCTAGGAAGCCAGATGCGGCCAGGAATCCCTCACAGGGAAACCACCGTTGACGTTGCCACGATAAAACAAAAAAGGCTCCTTAAGCAAGCACCGCGAATGAATGGATTTTACGTCACCAGTATAAAAGCCGGTCATCTTCCACAATTAAAGATGTAGTTACACCCCACAAGCTGCATAACATGGAAATGTACTTTTATTCCCAGGGATGTGTGATCTACACTGCTTTAAAATTCTGGCTGGCTCAACAGGACATCCTTTGCTGAAGTTGGCTTGGGCTGACAAAGTAGGATGTCAAAGTAAGAATTATGCATTGCACATGCCGCTATAGAATCACAGAACTGTAGGGTTGGAAGGGACAGGGGTCGAGGTTGTTTTTTGGAGAGCACCGTTCCAAACCTTGCTCTTCTCTTTCCTAAAATCTGTTTCTAGTCTCATGGAGAAATAAAAGAATTACGAAATTTCACTCCCCCCACCGGCCCGAACCCATCACTCCACTCCGTTTAGATGAACCAGGAATATCAAGTTTTGGAAACCAGTTGTGCTAAGAGGTTAGCTTCACATGCCACCATTTGCTTTATTCACAAGCGTGCAATATTGGGGTGTGCAGGTCCTTGTGCATTCCTAAATAGAAACGCTGTGTCAACCATCACTCTTAAAGCACATGCATGATTTCTTGGCTGCCAGCAAGTCTTCCCTATCGGTAGGAAAAGATGACATCGTGTCTGCTTACATTTTCTCGTTCTCAAAGGCTTTTCCTCCCAGGAACACAAAGCTGCCTAAATGTGGAGGTCCCATGACATTGTAAATGCCCACTCTTCCGCAGGAAGGCCTTATCTCCAAGAGCAATGCAATGCGTGGCTAAGGATGGACAGGATGCCAAACAGAAACTGATATAGACGACTTTGCAAGGAAGAAGAACAGAGAGTGACTGTCGATAATTTCCTGGAGCGAAAAGACTTCCAGCCACGATGAGACACGATGGGGTCCCTCATCCCGAAGCACCAAGTGGTGACTTGCATGTGTGAATGTGACATCAGAAAGCAAATGACACAGAATAAACACTCATATCATCTCACCAGCATCTGACACGCTCAGCAAATTTCAGTGGGCTCAGTTCATGAAGGAAGAAAAGTCAAGAGATTGCTGTGCATTTGTGACCTACAGATTTTGCACATTATATATGACTTGGAAGAGAATGCAGCTGTGCAGCTGACACAGTCACCTGCTTCTCACACAACATCCAAAAGGGAATTCTTGCCTCTCTCCCGTAGTAAAATGTGTGCACTGGGCACCAGATGTGACTACTGGGCATGTATCTCACTGTGAGCAAGAGGGACTTCGGTACATCGAACTCCGTTAAGATTTAATGCAGAATGTTTTCTGCTTATAGTACAGTAATGCATGTAGAAGTTTGCATTTTTATTATTATTATTTCAGAGTCAGATCACAGTTATCTGCATTCCAAAAGTGAGAGGGCTTTAATCTTTTAAAGGACTGTGAATGTTAGCATAAATTTATGGAACTCATTGCAACAGGATATAGTATCAGCCATTTGTTTTAACTTTGCAAGGCAATTAGACAAATGGATGGAGGCGGGGAAGCTGAGAAGCAACTACAGTGGTACCTCAGGTTAAGTACTTAATTCGTTCCGGGAGTCCGTTCTTAACCTGAAACTGTTCTTAACCTGAAGCACCACTTTAGCTAATGGGGCCTCCTGCTGCCATAGCGCCACCGGAGCATGATTTCTGTTCTCATCCTGAAGCAAAGTTCTTAACCTGAAGCACTATTTCTGGGTTGGCGGAGTATGTAACCTTATGTAACCCGAGGTACCACTATACAGAGGGTACAGAGGAACTGAGCCCACAGCCAGTAGGGGGATGAACTATGATATTTATTTATTTATTTATTTATTTATTTGATAGGCCTCCTGGAAAGGAAGGTAAGGTAAAGGTAAAGGGACCCCTGACCATTAGGTCCAGTTGTGGCTGACTCTGGGGTTGCGGCGCTCATCTCGGTTTATCGGCCAAGGGAGCCGGCTTCCGGGTCATGTGGCCAGCATGACTAAGCCGCTTCTGGCGAACCAGAGCAGCACACGGAAACGTCGTTTACCTTCCCGCCGGAGCGGTACCTATTTATCTACTTGCACTTTGACGTGCTTTCGAACTGCTAGGTTGGCAGGAGCAGGGACCGAGCAACGGGAGCTCACCCCGTCACAGGGATTCGAACCGCTGACCTTCTGATCGGCAAGCCCTAGGCTCTGTGGTTTAACCCACAGCGCCACCCGCGTCCCTCGGAAAGGAAGGTAATGAAGCATAAAATACAAGCTTCTAAGTGATTTCTGCTTCAGTCTGTGATGGGAGAAGCTGCACTGACAGCAACATCCCCTTTCTTTTTGAAATAAGGTTACTCCAAAAAAAAAAAAAAGTGATATGTGCAACTCCTTCCAAAACGTTTGGTGAACTCATTGCCCGTATCAAAAGAAATACGACAAATTAACAGACACAGTCATAAGTGACACCCAGTTTTGCGCGAGTGGACTTCCATTTGCATAATGGGACTTAATAGCTCATTCAGTAGAGAATGAGACTCTTCATCTCAGGATCATGGGTACGAGCCCCATGTTGGACAAAAGATTCCTGGACTGCAGGGGGTTGGACTAGATCAGTGTTTCCCAAACTTGGGTCTCCAGATGTTTTTGGACTACAATTCCCATCATCCCTGACCACTGGTCTTGCTAGCTAGGGGTGATAGGAGTTGTAGTCCAAAAAGAGTTGGAGACCCACGTTTGGGAACCAGGGACTAGATGAACCTCAGGGTCCCTTCCAACTCTTATGATTCTACAATTCCCTTTGCCTCTTTCCCCTGCGCTTAAGCTCTGCTGCTGGGGACAATACAGTGGTACCTCTGGTTACGAACTTAATTTGTTCCGGAGGTCTGTTCTTAAGCTGAAACCGTTCATAACCCAAGGCGCGCTTTCGCTAATAGCACCTCCCGCTGCTGCTGCCGCGCTGCCGGCGTGCGACTTCCGCTCACATCCCGGGGCAAAGTTCGCAACCGAGAGCATCTACTTCTGGGTTAGCGGAGGTCGTAACCTGCAGCGTTCGCAAGGAGGACGGTACGTAACACGAGGTTCCACTGTATTGCTATGCTAAGGTGCCATGCAAAGAGCTTAGGCAAGGATCAGCGACTCTACAATCACTACATCCAGCATGACAACATAAGGAGGACTACATATTTAGTTTATCTGCACATGGTTTATACTCTCACTGAAATAAAACCAGAAGGCATAATTTAAATACTAATTTAAATGGGGGTCTTTGTGGTCGGTGTGTGTGTTAAAAAAAAACACCATTCGTCAATAAGTCAGGTATGTTGACCCCAAGGTTTCCTGGAATGCTGCCATGAATATAAGAGTGACATCATGTCTGTTCACTTGTCTCCTGTTGATAAATTAGCCAAACCACATAGGTAAGAGGAGCTTTTTTCTGAATTAGGACAGCAGCAGTTTGATCATCCTATATGTTTGTTCAGTCGACTGCTTGAGTGACCAAATTCTATTTGTAGTCATTGTGACAACGAAAGCTATGTTGGTTTAGGTGACATCTGCGTCAGTGGATTCCCTCCCCCCTTCCTGACTGGAACTTATATGGCCTGGGACAGAAACTAACTCATAGGATATGAGGTCAGCAGAATCCTCTGGAAATTTCCCCACAAATATGTGGACCTCCATGTTCAGTGAGATGAACGCTTCTGCATTCCAGTTCCTGGAAATGAGGGACCAGATATGAGGTAGCTAACCTTTTTTGAGCCAAGAGCCACATTGTCCCATAGACTATGTCTGTAAATTACCTTGAGACGTACATGTAAAAGCACTTTCCCAGCTTTGGGAAGGAGCGGGGGAGGGGTTCCCAGGACCCTGCCAGCGCCCCGTGCTTCCTTCCTAAAGCCCAGCGCCACACTTAGCCAACTTTGGGAAGGCAACATGAGGGCTGGTGTGTGTGTTCACTTTTGGTCTTGTTCCCCACACAGCCTCCACAAGGCAGCGTGTGGCCCACGAGTTCCCTGTTGAAGTACCCTTGCAAGCCACTTGGCATGAAAAGTTGGACCGCTCTGTTCCACATGGACCTCCATTGATCATCATCCCAGGCTGTACTGATGTGGAAGCAGGAGACTAGTTCTCTGCCAGTTTTGACGCAGTTAAGGTATCCCACAAAATATGAATGAATGTATTTCTCAATCTTGAAAGAGCTTTATTGGTTCCCACTTTCTTTTCAGGCACAATTCGCGATGCTGGCTCTTACCTTTAACATACTAAATGGCATTAGTAAAAGGTAAAGGTAAATGACCCCTGGACAGTTAAGTCCAGTCAAAGGCAACTATGGGGTTGTGGCACTCATCTCGTTTTTCAGACCAAGGGAGCCATTGTTGTCCGCAGACAGCTTTCCAGGTCACGTGGCCAGCATGACGAAACCGCTTCTGGCGCAACAGAAGCCAGAGCGCACGGAAATGCCATTTACCTTCCCGCCACAGTGGTATCTATTGTATCTACTTGCACTGCCATACTTCCGAACTGCTAGGTTGGCAGGAGCTGGGACAGAGCAACAGGAGCTCACCCCATCTCATGGATTCAAACCGCCAACCTTCTGATTGGCAAGCCCAAGAGGCTCAGTGGTTTAGACCACAGTGCCACCTGCTCCCAATAAAATGGCACTGGACCAAGGACTTGACCACCAATTAATACTGGCAGTTGAGGCCCTTCTCTGAGTTCTCCCACGTCACAAGTTAGGCAGGTGTTACCAGAAAGAGTACCTAGTTTTTAAACTCCTTTCCTAGAGAAGTTCACCTGGAGCCTTTCACTGGGCACCAAACCAAAACCATCCCATTTTCCTGAATTTATAGTTGACATCATAGCTTTTAAGGCATTTTTTTCTATTGTTCTATTTTTTAGTTGCTGTTTTTAGTACAGTTATGTATTGCTTTTAGAATCTATCCAGTGGATTCTATGAATACGAAGGGAGGATAAAGGGGGGACGTCTATATAAATAACATTGACACAAGTGATAATTTTATTAAATTCACAGACTTTCAGCTTTGACTAACTTGCACATTCTTCGGATTGCGATATTAAATCTAAAATTCACGCAGACCTCTTTCCGCACAAGGGGTGCTCATTAATTCTTTGCTCTGGCTATGTGGCTTTTATTTTGCGAGCAGGCGGTCACCTAAGTTACATGGTGATATTTTGCTCTTTGAATGGATGACTGAAGCTTACCTAGCGTGCTGGATCTTTTGTTCTTTTTCACCCCATCTCTCCTATTGTTTGCCATGGCCTTGTTGTTCCGTCATGTGTAAAATTAGATTCTAAGCTCCTTGAAGAAAGGACAGCACCTTTCTCGCTTTGTTCTCTAAATGCCTAACACGCTTTTGGGTCATATAGAAGTGGGAAAAAATATTAATGTAAGCATTATATGAACTTCAGAAGATGATGAAAACATTTAGATATAAGCACATTGCAAGAACCTTTAAGGAAAAATACAAGAAAAGGAGTACTGGAGCTGGCGACTAGCTCACATATTCACGAAAGAATCTGGAATCCTGACTGCAAGCAAAATCTGTTAACAGGTTTGCGGAAGTAATGTGCAAAATGTAGAGAAGAAAAGTGTGCTTCCACTTCCATTACCCCAATAGTGACTTTTTGCAGAAAGTCAAATTAAAATTCAATGTGCACTCTTCTGGCATTTTACCTTTGTTCAAAGCAATTTAGGACCAAGATACTACTTAGGCTCATGGCTGCATGTATTAATGGTTTTGAAATCACTCGCAATCATGCATATTTTCTCCAACATCAGACTGCATCATGGAATTGGTAGTCTTGCAATGCATCTGATGGCACAACGGCACTTTCCTACCCTCTCCTTCTCGCTGCACCTCCCGTGCCCTCTTAAAGAGCCATTTCTAAGGATTTGGGAGACCCTCTGGAACAGTGTGGCACAGGTAGCGGCTCTGGGAGGAGGCAATGAGTGGAAACTAGGGTGTAGCCTTGCATTAACAGACCAAAAACAAGTTCAGATCCAAGCCACTGAGTCATTCTCGAGCAAACATGATTGACTTTGGCATAAAACAGGACAAAGGGATTTGGTGAGATTGTAGGAGATAGTTTGGTGCAAAAGGGTTCGATGATCATGAGAAGGCAACTATCACAAGAACACCTTCTGTCACAGGTAAAAGAATAACAGAAACACACATTACAGGAACATGTGGCCAGCAGCACACTTGCTGCTATACAGGGGCACAACCTCGTGGGGGCTCAGCTATGTTTCCCTCCCAAAAAATATTTGGGGGGCGCAGGTCCTCCAATACCCCGAATGATCGGGGGAGGGGGGAGAGGAGGCTAAGTGTGGAGCCGTGGCCAGCTGCTCCTCCTCCTCCTGATGTGAAAGGAGGCCCCAGCTGTTCCTGAAGCTGCCACATGATGTCACGTGCATGACGTCGCTCTCACACACGTGACATCACGCATACACACCATATGTGCTCTGCCGGCCCCCCAATCTTCAGCACCTCCTCTGCTGCTATATATGTTGCAGTCTTTACTGATTGCTACCAAGCCATGAAGAGGACAGCCAGTTTGTTTCCTGGCCTCTGCAGCCTAGTGGGCGTAACAAAAGTTCAACACAAAGTTACGCATACTGCAGGCTCGCTGAACTGATCCGTGATTTGATCGATATTTACTGTTTGCTATTTGTTTTAGAATTGGTTCGTTGTTTATTTATTGTGTCCATGATTATAGTCCTCAACATATGCTGTGATATTGTTTCCGCTGCAGGATTTATTTTAACAAAGAGGGAGCTAAAAGTACCCTAGATAAAATAAGGCATAATAATAAAGGGAAAGGAACACACATTCCATATGCTGCTTCCTTCTGCAAATAACCATGCGAAACAATTACGTCATTAACACCATGCATGGACTCAGCCATTATTTGCCTCTACATCCTTGGCTGCTGCTCACAAATGCACTAGATTATCTCTCCACACACACCAGCAATCATCAGCCCTGGCATATCTTTCTGCATATAGAAGCTTTGCCTGTGGCAAGTATGGGGGAGATGAAAGCATGAATAACCCTTTTGCTTTTCATGTTCCCACTGTCTTTAATGAAAGGGGAACTTAAACATCTGCCACAGACAGATCACACATCTTTTTGCGGGGAAGAAGCCTGAAGTTCCTCCTTCGCACATCAACCTGAAGTGCAGAAGACTAAGAGTGCTCCCGCTTCCTTTCAAACCCTCTGCATAATGCACAAAGCCACATCCCAAGGTAGCATGTTACTTGCACATTGGAGCTAAATTGAAACTAGTTCATACTGAGGCTGTAACTAAAATTTAGCAGTTATAGCAGAACTTGTTTTGTGTTTCCTTTGCATTTATTTGGTCTCTTGATTTCGTCTCAACCGGTTCTGGTGATTTGAGTCTTGCACGCTTGTGTCCAACTTGTGTCCAATAATTTGGATATCCAAATTATTAGAAAAGTTCCCAAGGACCTAGAGCTCTGAAACTTGGCACATATGTAATCCAAACCTAAAAACACTATTCTGTCAAAACAGGGGGCTCAAAAGTTCACCCCAAATGGTTAAGGTACTTCTTGACAACCAAGAAGCTGAATATTTGGCACTCAGGTTGCCCAAAACATGCAGATTACTCAAAAAGTCCAAAAGGGAGACAACTGCAAGGGTGTTCCTGAAAATGAGGGATAAAACTGTTCCTCCCAAATAGCTAAGACGCTTCTAGGCACTTGAGAAAGTTGAAACTTGGTGTGTATATTCTTAGTAGCAGCAAGGAACAGAATGCTACTTTCATTAATGAGTAAATGTGTATAAGAACAGGCTAGGTGCTTCAATTACCGTATTTTCCGCACCATAGGACGCACCGGACAATAGGATGCACCTTGTTTTATAGGGGGGAGAACAAGAAAAAAAAAATCTCCCCCTCTCTGCCCAGCGCCCCTTCAGCGAAGCGGCAGGAGGTGCTGCACAGAGAGGGGGAGAATTTTCCCCCTCGTTTTCCCGCTCTAAAACAAGGTGCCGTTTAAGGTGCGTTCAGGCGGCTACCTTGGAAGCCTGGAGAGCGAGAGGGGTAGGTGCGCACCGACCCCTCTCGCTCTCCAGGCTTCAGGTTCCTTTCGACCTGCTCTTTGGGGCTGGCGGGGGGAAGCCCACCACCAGCCCCAAAGAGCAGGTCAGGGAGCAGTGGAAAGGCGCAGCGGAGAGGCTGCTGCCATAGTCGCGCGTCACCTCTCCAGCTGGGAGAGGGTCGCGGGGCTATGGCTTCTTTAGCCCCCCACGCACTCTCCTGGCTTGAGAGGTGACACGCGGCTATAGAGGCTCCTGCCATAGCCACGCGTCACCTCTCCAGCCGGGAGAGGGTCGCAGGGCTATGGCGTCTTCGCTCCATAGGACGCACACACATTTCCCCTTCATTTTTGAAGGGGAAAAAGTGCGTCCTATAGAGCGAAAAATACGGTAAGATTGTCACGCTATGCAGCAAAGAAATGCTCATATCAAATGTAATTGCTCAGTGATGTCATCATCATCGCCCAGCTATGCTCCTTCTATCTGATTTCAGAAGAGTTTCAGAACACAGAAACACACATCAGACAGAAATTCCCATGCCGGAACTTGAGATAAGGAAGTCAATAACCTTTCAAAAAGCTGAGTAGTCTCACCTTCTTGTTTAGCTTGCAATTGTCCCTCCAATGTCCCTCGTTGTCCAGTCATTTTACAGGTTATTAAAAGTTCACAGGTCAGTCACAATAGCCTTCTCCTGTTCAGATGAAAAACAGCATAAAGATTTCATGAGGTTTTTTTTCACCGCCACACATAAATGTTTTCACCACCACATGAAAACGTTTTGTCTGTTCTGGCTCTTAGAAATCTGCCTTTATTTTTATTTGGATTCCACATTATTGGAAAAAAGTTGCACAATTTAGTACATATTTTCTTCACTTCCAATATATGGTTCAGGGCTGATTAGGGCTTGGCTTGGCCTCTGAAGTGGTTTGAAATGCCAGCACCATCCGCACTGGTTACAATAAAAAGTGAGTATTGTTGAACAAGTACCAAGGACCTTTTCCTCACCACTAAGTAACCACAACCACATTAGGGGATGGGGCTTCTTCTAGGAAAAGCAACATAGCTTTTCCTGCTCAAGCCCCTGCACCTCTTCTATTTGAAATGAAACATTTTTCAACATCCACCTTCAGTCCTGAACCCCCAATTCTGAATAACGCCAGGGTAACTGCTAGATTTCCACCCCCCTCTCTTTAATTCCCTGAAGAAAAATAAGCAAATGAGACAGGAAGTTCCAAAAGGCTCTGCAGGTAAGATGAACCATGAGATCTGCAAAGATACAGCAGAAGAAGAAAGGAGAGGCACAGGAATGAAAGAACATCTTTATTCCCAAGGACTGAAAAAGCACCCAGAACCTGTTCTTAGCAGGCCTTGTTTATATAGTTGTTGCACAAGGAATGTAGACTTGTCTATTTGTTCCTGAAGAATACTGCGTTAACTTTGTGCAAACCAAGGAAGCAAAAACCTGAAACCACTCGAACATTAAACACTGAGGTCATACTTCAGTTCCGCTGTCTTCTCTATGCATTTCCATGTTTAGCTGGCCCCCTCCACAGCTTTTCACCTCCCTTGTGAGTCACGGAACCAAGACATTTACTACTGAAGGGATGATTTAGGGCTGCAGGAACCAGTGGTCTGGCAAAGGCAGCAGGAGAGGCCCATTCGAAGGTAAGCGCAAACATTAAATGCAGAAAAGTGTAGGGCTGAGGGAAGAAACCAAAAGTGGAGAAAAGGAGAAGAATGAAAGACATAGGAAGGAGAAACTCGAATCTGGAAACATTAAGAACACCACAAAAGGTGTTTCCATTGAGCAAAAGCTTTCCTAAGAGAACATTTAGACAGCCTTTGGACATGACTGCCATCCATCTCCATTCTCAATATATATTTTCAGGGCATTCATGCAGAATGAAACCTTGGCCCCAATAGATGCTCCTTGGTTGAGTTACTGTCCTTAAATGAACACAGGAAACTCAGACGAGCCAGTAGGGCACAATAGGGTCAAGTTCTGCTCTCTCCCATTGTAGCCTGGAAGCTTCAATTCCTGGCATGTCAAGGAAGGGGCAACTTTATCTGATAGTTTCTGAAGTCCACGTGCCATATTGCTGTGTTTATGCTGTGGTCTGTAGTCAGCTCCTGCTGCTGATGTTGTCATGTCTTTGCAAGCTACTCCAGGAAGTCAGTGCAGCACGGCAGAAACCCACAGCACACAACACTGCCTCATGAGCCCTGGCTGACCAAGAAGACCGGCTGGAATTCTGGTTTCCACCTCCAGCCAAAGCATCATAAACCAGGCATGCAACTGGTGCTAGCAAGCCAAACATTAGGATTTCCTTCCATGACGAGAATTATGAATTATTATTTGGGGAAGAGGGGTGTGTGTGAAGGGGCAAAGTCACCTTCATGCTATAGGAGCAAAGATGTTCTGTGTTGAACTTCTGAAATCTATTTAAAGTCTGTTCCCAAGAAGTGTACAGTTAATCTGTGGACCGTCAATTGGTAGTAGATTGCAACTCCCATCATTGGTGATGCTGACTGGGGCTGATGGGGGCTAGAGTCTAGCACAGGGTTTCCCAAACTTGGCCCTCCAGCTGTTTTGGGACTACTATTCCCAGCATCCCTGACCACTGGTCCTGCTAGCTAGGGATGATGGGAGTTGTAGTCCAAAAACAGCTGGAGGGCCAAGTTTGGCAAACTCTGGTCTAGCAGGATCTGGAGGGCCACAGGTTAGTCATCCCTATACTATGGGATGGAGGAGGAGAAGCAGAGGCAAGAAGTGACTGGGCTCATGGGAGATAAATGTAGGAATAGATGGGTGAAGGACTGAGGAAGAAGAAACGTTGATGGAGATCGCCCACTGCCTCAGGATAACAAGGCCTGGGATGTGGAAGAGAAGAAAAGCCACCCCTCCAACTGATTGGTTCCTACAATTGCAGATCCTGCCCCTCTCCTCTACACAATTCAGCGGAGCACTATTTGCTCCATTGATCAAAGAGAATATTGAAAGGCTGGTCCTGAATTCACCATGCATGGCCTGTGGCAGCACCTGTAGTTGCAGCTGAATCGCCTTAGGAACCACTGCTATAGAAGCCCTGGCATATGCTTACAATACACGAATGCAAGGCTTTTCCTCGGGCAGAAATGTTCAGATCAAAACAGAATGCAATTGATTGTGTTCAACATTGACTCCTGTCTGGGAGGAATTGTATGGCTTTCATTTAGAAACAAACAGAATCATTCCAATCTTCTTTTACACTCTTTCTCTCTGTGGGACAAACCCCCTTAACGACATAACGGCAATCAGCAATCTTGAAGGAAAATATATATACATATATGCTACCCTAATGTGTCTAGAGAGAAGCAGATTCATTCTCTAAGGTACAGACTGCAGAAAAGACTGCAACAGAAAAGCATCTGAGAAATGCTCACAGGGAAATCTGAATTCAAAAGTCATTCACGTAGCTGCGGGATTCAACTCCTTAAAATTCAGCTCAGGACTGTAAAATAGCATGGATTCGCCCCTGCTTTAGAGGCTTCCAATGGGACCATGTGAAGTGTGTGGGTTTAATATCACATTTACTGGGACAGAGCCAGGGGGCAAACCAAGAGGGAAAGAAATTATGAGCTCCCTTAGGGGAAGAAAATATGTGGGAATAGGTTTGGTAAGGTGAGCTTTATCAGTTTTATCTCGTCTTTCCTTTCGCTCTCATCCCATCCTGCTGCCATGTAAAGGATTCTCCGGGAAGGGTGCCCTTAGACCTGGAGCTCCCAGGAGTTCCTTTGGTGTGAGGGATGCTTGAATGATCATTGACTAGGGTGAATACCAACCCTGCCAGGTAATATGGCCATCAAACCTGCAGCTCCCCAAGCTGAGCCAGGGGAAACTCAGGCTCTTATCTTGACATCCTTGGGATTCACAAAAACAGGAGCCAAACAGTCCCATTCATTGTCTTTTGAGCCTCAAGCCCACACACTTTATCCAGTCGCATGGAGCCAAGCATCCAGATTCAGAGCCAAGTTTACTCCAAGAAGCCACAGCAGCAAAAATGCAATGCTTCATTAAGGAGGTTATAAACCCAGGACCAAGAAAGGGCAATTGAAAAAGGGCCAGCAGTGTAGAGATAATTTTAGGAAGTCAGGTACAGAATAGAAAATAACAGAACTAGATTGCTCCCACCCTAATACTAACTAATCATTAAGATTAGCTACTGAACCAACAAGCTGTATCCAGGCACATGTGGGTTTTGCAACTGGGGGCCATCAAACCAAAGCCAGATACCAACTTTTATTACAAAAAGGCCTGTATTTCCTGTAGTTAATAAGGACCTAGGGACATTTTTTCACAGCACTAGAGGGTCTATGCCTCGGTGCACCATGCAGTCATTTCTGCAGTTACAGTGACCTTGACACAGTCTTGCAACAGATGCTCACAGGAGACAATATGAAACGAGTTAACAGTGCTACAATTCCAAGCACCCACAACAACCCACAGTTCCCAGAATACTCCAGGGGAAATGGATGGTGCAGACATGGCAAAAGAGCATCCACAGGAAACACTGAGGGTAAAGTGCCGGGCTAGATGTGGGCGAAAGGACCCATGCGCACATAGGACTGCACCGGCTTCCGGGAATGCAGCTTTCCAGTTCTTAAGCAAATGAATAGGACGTGCAGGTAAATGTCTTAGGCTAGACTTCAGTAAAAGGCTTGGGAAGTGCTGCTCTATGGCTTGAACAGAGCCAACAAATAGATTGTGCTGGCAACCAAATGATCTAAGAGCGGTGCACCAAAGCGCCACAGAGAAAATACTGGGGCCTACTCTCGGATTCTCTGCAGTGGTGTACGGCCCTAGAAACAGGCCTTAGCACCCTCCGTAATATTGCAAGGCTTTCTCAGATGCACCTCTCAGGTTGGCCACCGCTTGGCCAGTGACCTTATCTATAGCGACGCTCCCATGCGCTTCCTCTTGGTCGCATGTGAAGCCAGTCTGGCAATTTTAGAATCTGTGCCTTTTAACTTAACCTTAAGAAAGGAAGTTAAACCACCACACTCCTACCACCCACCTCTGGCCAGTAAGGACTGCCAAATCCAGCTAAAGTTGCCTGCATGGCTCATCTCTCCCTCTCCCCCCACCTCAAGCATCTCCTGCCAGGGATGCCAACTTGAATAAAATATTCGGGGGGGGGGAGGCCTCAGGTAATCCACCCTCCACATTAATTGATCACATGAAGCGGCACACACACCCCATTTGAATGGCAGTGCCTGTTAACTTTGCCCCACCCTTTGAATATTTTATTGGGTGGGGTGAGTGAGGCAAAAGGACCTCCTCCTCTAGGAGTTGGTTCCTATGTCCCTTGCAGGAAGGACCCCGAGGTACCAAGTCCTTAACCCGGTTTGCTGCTGGCTTAGCAAAGCGAGGCAGAGCGCACGCAGAGCTGCGCGGGGAGGATCTTCGACGGCGCGGAAGGGAGGAAAAACCCCTCTCTAGGAAAGGCTCGGGACACGTGCCCAGAGATTCCCGAGTGATCCGGATCTCTGGAACGCTGCAGGGTCAACGACCCCAAATGAGCTCGCCTTGCTAAAAGGAGAGCCGGACGCGCCTTACGCCTACCCTTTCGGCTACATCATCGTCGTCCTCCTGCGGGGTGGGGGGTGGCTAGCGGATGACGACACTCCTCAAGACTTTCACCAAATATGGATCGGGGTTGGAAACCTCGGGAGTTTGTTTAGCTCGAGCCGGAAATCACTTTGGCAATTATCTCTCTCCGTCCTCCCCAAGCCCCCACCTCTGCTACGTCGGTTTCCCAAAGCAAAGGCCAGGCAGCAAGGGAAGGGATCCGACCCCACCACCCCGGCTGCAGAGGGCAAAGAGAGAGGAGGGGGGGGAACCCCACTCTCCCTAACAGTGACGAGGCAGCTTCCCTGGCTGCCCCACTCAGCACTTTCTGTCTGAGATCCGACGAGGAGCAAATGGGAGGCGGTGCCACAACACACCTCGGCTCCTCTCTGGCCCCCACGCGCACCCCCCATCGGTTATGACAGGCGTGGGGTTTTTTTTATTTTTTAGGGGTGGTGGGAGCCACGAGCTACTGAAACAAGTTTTCTCCCTTTCCGGTGAACAGTCACTGAGGAACGCAATCGTCGTAACCCTGGACTCAATTCCTTTTTGGACAGATGGTTACCTCATGTTGTCTTCTGATGGGGTGGGGATAGAGGGATGGAGAATTCCCTCCTGAAGGATGCACAAAAAGACGGGTCTTTTATGCTACCCCAACCCCGTGTTTATTCCTTCTTCTTTTTTTGAGGGGGGGAGGTGTCTGGAGCTAGTCAGAAAATACTCCCATATTTGACAGGGCCGGAAGGGACCATGAGGACCACCGAGAGTCCAACCCCCCTGCAATGTGGGGCTCGAACCCACGGCCCTCAGATTAAGAGCCTCACGCTGTACCAACTGAGCTACATGTGTAGTCCTTTAGTCAAAGGGGAGAGAAAGAGAGAGAAAAGAGAGAGAAACCGTATATGTGCGTGGAAACTGCTTCTGCAAGCTGGTGCTTCAACCCGCCCCCCCTCAGAGGACACAGGGCTCCATTATATTGGTTCTACCTCCCTGGCTGCAGAGACACCCAACCCCTTTTCCCTTGGAAAAAAAACACCTAACAACAACAGCCACTCTGTCATTTCTGAAGTTCCCTGCAGGATTTAACAAAGCTGCTTATTATTCCTCGAACATTGCCCCCAACTTCTCACTTAGACTCACACCCGCACCCCCCACCTCCAATTAGGACCCAGGAGCAGCAACAACTTACCCTGGAAACACGCTCCCAGCCCCTCTGAAACGCCTCCCTGTGTGCGGACCCGGCGACGAGCCGTCTGGGTTTGCCCTGCTCCAAAGCAGCAGCGGGGCTGGCGAGGGGTCCGCTCCCCTCCCCTCCACGGGCCACCCTCTGTGCGTCGAATAGCGCATATAAGACACAACCCGTATGGCCATGGGAGGCGGCCAGGTCGATCACATTGCTTTCCCCCCCTTCGCATCGCCTCCAACAACTTCTCTCTACCCCCCGCCCCCCACTGCTACATGGTCTCTCTGCTTGGGAGCAGCACGTTTCTGTGGTTGGAAATCAGACGGCGCGGACGGAATCGATAGTTGCTTTATTAAAAGTTAAGCGCAGCAACAACACCCCCTCTCCCCCTCCCCAGGGGAATAAAATAGCCAGCAAAGGATATTTCTTCAAAGTTATGTATTTGTCACTAACAGGCCAGCAAAGCCACAATGCAATTCCTCCTAAACCATAATAGGTAGATTGCGTGAAGGACGGGGGGGGGGGGGAGAGAGAGAAGGGGGGGTGTAGAGAGGAGAAGAAAAACACCCCACCAAGAATTCCGAAGAATTTCCTGCCCTGGGAACAAAAGTGAAGTCTATATTTAACAACATCTGAAGCTGTCAAGAATGCTTTGTGGTTGGGTAACAGTGCAGAAAAATGTGGAAAATGCGGACTACTGCTCGACCAAATATGGAAATATTGTTACGTCTGGTGTCTGAATCGCCATCTGGAAATACTTACGGCGATGAAGGAGGGTTGAAAGACGCCACAACAGAAGCTAGGAACACCTCTGTGTCGTCGTCGTGCCCTCCACGATAATAATAAAAAAACCCCAAATCCTAAAACCAGAGAAGATGCATTAGGAAAGAAACTTAACCGAAGAGGAAAATACTATAAGCAAACAAACAAACCCCCAAAACCCATAAACAACAGGCTTGCAAAGGAAGGCGTGTTCTGAAGGCCCGCCATCGCTTTTAAATGACTTATTATGGGAGCCCACGTTCACCAAAGTGTTTGCCTTCTGCGTAATTAAAGAGCCAATAAGGAACTTTTGGATTTATTTATTTATTTACGTATTTTGAACAGAACGCCGTAGGTGTATTGCAATATATGGTTTATCATCTGCATAGCTTTCAAAACATTCTCCACATTATAGTAAAAAAAAAAAAATTTTATTTGAATACTGCTAAGCCGGGACACGCAGGGTAGGCGCTGCTTTATTCTAATTGCTTATCATTCCACGCTAGAGTGGAAGGTCACGGAGAGTTCATTGTTCCATAGGAACCACTTTCAATTTTGCTTTTATTGAAGCAGGTTTCACACACACGGTCACAGCCCTCTTCAAGACAGATCAAGAATCATAAAAGGGACCTTTAAAAAGGGTGTGTGTGTGTTTTTACTTTCGGCGTCTCGAAATTCTTGCAGCAACATCCCAAGTTTAAAGATTATCATCTTAAAAGGTAGAGAGAGATAAGAAAAGCCGAACCTTTTCCCTGAAAAGCTGGAAACATTTGCAGCGTGGAGGTCTGGCTAGCTGCTTTTCGAGCCATCGAAATATGCCAATTAAACCCAGAGAAGTTAATTAATAGCTGCAGGGCGAGGGAGCTGCTGGAGACGTTCTGCTTGATATGACCTCAAATAGCGGAAACGGAGCTTCCGAGATCAAGGTAACCGAAGGTACAAATAATAATCCATAACCCAAAAACTTAAGGGCATAAGAGGACCCCTCCCCCTTGCTGGGACCGGTCCAAACAACGGGGAGTAATTTCTTTTGCCCATGCCCCATTCAAAAAAAATATATACAAATTTAAACGACGCCATCTGGGTCTTAGTTAAGGGATACACCTTTTCATTCCACTATTAGATCAAATCCGAGTGTCTTAAGAAATTTGCATGCCTCTTCCCCCTCCCCCTCAACCCCCCCTCCTCTTTAATCTTCAATAGTATATAAGCTATTTAGCAAACACACCGGGACAATATGTCTAACGCACTTGTTTCCTAGGCTGCAAATGGGGAAAGTTTCGGGGGGGGGGCAAAGAGAAGAAATCTTTATAGCCAAGCAAAATATTTTCTACCACCCACCCACCAAAAAAAAAGGAGAGGCGTGCGTGTTGCGATATTACAATCTATAACTCCGCGATTGTTTAAAAGCGTTGGAAAGGGGAGGGGAGGGAGAACCTGTTTTCTTGCTTGTGAGACGGCGAGGGGGAAAAAGTGCAGCTTAGACAGGGCGGAGCTTGGATGCAAACCGCGCCAAGGAAACATTCCTGAGATGCCTTACAATTCCTGGTGCTTTAGAATTCTGGAACGCTCAACGTCAGTGCAGCTGCAGCACGCGGCGCCTGCACACTATATAAGGCTGCTCCCTCTCGGAGCCTCCTCAGACGGCAAAGGGATCCCCGGGAAAGTGCGCGGCGCCACGAGCAGAGGGAGCCAAGAGAAAGCAGCCGAGTCCTCCTCTCCGCCTTCCCCGCAAGAGAAGCAAGGCGAGCCCCCGAGGCTTTCCAGGACTCGCGACTCTCTCTTTAAAACAACAACAACAAAAAAAGTCACCGCCACTTCGCTCAGACAAACACCGAGAAATCGTTTAGGTCCTACTTTCCCTCTCTCTCTCTCTGTTCAAGTTTGCTTCTGGGCTGAAGAAGAGAGAAAAGAGACCAGAAATCCTTCGCCTTAAAAAAAAGGGAACCGAAGATGAACTCTCAGAGAACCAGCTGTTTCGTCCTGGCTTTTGCACTCCTTCAGTTAGTAAACAGGGTAGGTGTGGACGTTTCTTTCTCATTTGCTGAGGATTCTTGCCTTCTCTGGTCTGCTGTGGGCAGAAAGGTGTTTTTTTTTAAAAAAAATAAGATATAGTGTGGCTTTGGGGACGCATATACTTAAGTTGGGAGAAGGCAGAGGCAGCCGGCACGCCTGTTGTGAGGGAAGGGAGGAGAATGTATTCTTGCCAGTTCATAGAAATATAAGGAACTTGAGCTCTGAAGTGGCAATGATCAAAGGTGACGTGCCTGTGTTTTTGTTCTGCATTTATGGCAGGGAGGCCGACTGTTTCCTGCTTTGCTCAGTTGTACCTGTTTGTGTCTCACCAAACTTTTTATCCGTCTCTCCTCCCCAGGTGCTTTCTTCTTCTTGCCCAGCTGCTTGCCAATGCCCCCTGGAGGTCCCCAGATGTGCCCCGGGAGTCGGTCTGGTCCTGGACGGCTGTGGATGTTGTAAAGTCTGTGCTAAACAGCTCAACGAGGACTGCAGCAAGACGCAGCCTTGCGATCACACCAAGGGACTGGAATGCAATTTCGGCGCCAGCTCCACAGCTCCGAAGGGGATCTGCAGAGGTAAAAACCTTGTGGCTTTGGCTCCCTTTGAAGTGTATATATATAAATATATATATTACCAACCAGTCCTTGTAGCGGTGAAGTTTAGTAATTTTCAGTCCATGTATGGTTATGCTTTGTTGTTGGTAGATTGGCAAAAGGGCATATGACTTCAACAGTCTGGAATGCAATTCACTATGTCTGGGCTGCACTAACAGCACATAAGGAAAAGTGATTCCTGACTAACTTATTGTTCTAGCCTAGAGCTCTTGGGGATTGCAGGGAACTTTACCATAAATCGAATTTAACAGAGCAGAAAGAAAAGGGGGGGGGAGAGAAACACACACCCTGCTTCAGCAGACTGAGCCCCCATTTACAACTCTCTCCTCTTTCCTAATCTTTGCAGCACAATCAGAAGGGAGACCCTGTGAGTACAACTCCAAAATCTACCAGAACGGAGAAAGTTTCCAGCCCAACTGCAAGCACCAGTGCACATGCATCGATGGAGCGGTTGGCTGTATCCCGCTGTGCCCCCAAGAACTCTCCCTTCCTAACTTGGGCTGCCCTAACCCTAGGCTAGTGAAAGTCCCTGGCCAATGCTGCGAGGAATGGGTCTGTGATGACTCCAAAGATAACCTGGATGACCTGCAAGGTTTCATGGACAAAGAGTTTGGTCGGGATGCTTCCGAAGGAGAGCTAACCAGGAACAATGAGCTCATAGCCATCGTGAAAGGAGGGCTGAAAATGTTACCCGGTGAGTTTTAAGATGACCAGGGTCATGTTGTTCTTCTGCCAGGGAGGGGGAAGGGGGATTACCACTGGAAATTCTTTAGTGTGGGGGGATTATCTACAGTGTTTTGCTATGCATGTTGATGAGAAGAGAAACAAAGAGCTTGTAAGAATGAGAAATTTATACTCTCCCCCGCTTTTTTTTAGTCTTTGAATCTGAGCCACGCACTCACTTCTTTGAGAACCCAAAGTGCATTGTGCAGACAACCTCGTGGTCCCAGTGCTCAAAGACCTGTGGGACGGGCGTCTCCACCCGAGTCACCAACGATAATCCCGACTGCAGACTAGTCAAAGAGACCAGGATATGTGAAGTGAGACCCTGCGGACAACCGAGCTACGACTCCTTAAAGGTAAAAACAACACAGCCCCCTTTACTGTCCCACAACAATTCCCAGGTCATTTTTTTGGGTGGAGGGAGCCTTTTGGCTGGAATTGCAACCTAACTTACGCTGTTGATCTCTTCCTTCCAGAAGGGGAAGAAATGCACAAAGACCAAGAAGTCCCAAGAGCCAGTCAAGTTCACTTACGCAGGTTGTTCCAGCGTAAAGAAGTACCGGCCCAAGTACTGCGGCTCATGTGTGGACAGCAGATGCTGCACGCCTCAGCAGACCAGGACTGTCAAGATCCGATTCCGCTGCGACGACGGAGAGACCTTCACTAAGAACGTCATGATGATCCAGTCTTGCAGATGCAACTACAACTGCCCCCATGCAAACGAGGCCTATCCTAATTACCGGCTATTCAATGACATCCACAAATTTAGGGACTAGGTTGTGATTTGTGCAGGCTTGAGCGGAAGGCTTGCTCCAATTTTTTTTTTTTTTTTGAAGTAACAGTGGAGAAATGAACTCTTACGGAAGTGGTGCGTTTGTCCATTGGAGGGCAACACTGAGACACACAAAAAATGCACTGTGCAACTGGATACTAATGCAACAGTTTGAGCATACTTAAAGCTTCATAGTACTGGAGCAATCTTATTGCTTCATTTTGGAGCACTTTCATGATGACTGATTTCTGTTTGTAACTGATCTGTTTATACTTTGTCCGTCTGTTCCGGTTATGAAAACCTTCATTTTCTTACTGTTCAACATAATATCATGCTTTAGTTGTTGTTCCAAACTTTTGTTCGAGGTTACATTCCTTCCTATGGTGGGCACTTTTGGAGTCCTCGCCTATGGCAGCTATAGGCACCAGCTATATATTTCATACCCACAAACAGAAATCGGTTCTTTTTAAAGCTGAATATTTTATTTATCAAAATGTAGCTTTTTTGTTTTTTTGGAGGAAAAAAAAATCCCTAATACTGGAATAAGTTGTAAATGATTTAATTTTATATTCAATGAATTAAGAGAATTTATTTATGAAATTAATCATTTAATAAAGAAATATTTACCTAATTTCATTTTTAATATGGTGTGTTGATTTAGGGAAGCAGGAGATGCTTATGGAATTTTAGATGGCTATGGGAAGCAATTTCTAAGAAAAGTTAGTCTCACTAAACTTATTAGCACTAGAGGGCTTCCTTTCAACTAAACATGTTCAGCATTGGCTTTTGAGGCTGCAATCTTATACACACTTACCTGGGAGTAAGTTCCGTTGAACTCAGTGCGGTTTATAAATAGACATGTATAGCATTGCATTGTTAGACTTACTTTAGTTCTGCCATCATTTTACCAAAGAAGTTAGTAACTCTTGCTCGATTAAATTATACATATCTTTGTACTTGTAATCTTTAAACACAGCATTGTGCTTGTTCCAGGTCAGTTCTTAAGGATTCTAAATCAGATCATATACTGATTGTTAAGTACACCGTGAAGCCAAAGTATTTTTTCATTATTGATGGCATTTCTCTAAAATGCAACTCACTCTGCAGCTAAATAGGTTGTTGCTAGTGCTTTTAAGGATTTCTACTGCTGCTGCTTCTTGCAGATGAATACATTTCTTTGTTTGTGGGGGAAAGGTTTCCTTCAGTCTGCAGGAGGTAGTTTGCTTTCACTAAATTCAAACTTAAATGAGCTTGAAGCAATTAGTGATGTTAATCCTAAATAACATGGTGATTAAAAGTAAACATGTTGTTAAAAAGGAAAAGAATGCTAGGAATTCATAGTATTTTTCCAGCAGGCCAAGAACTAGCCTCTCCTTTTGCCTCTGCTTCTCTCCCCACCCCCCTACAATGAGAGAGTAAAGGAAACAGAACTATTCAAAAGGAACAGAAAGCGAAAACTTATATTTATTGGTAAGTCTCAACTGAGTTCAATGAGGCTTCCTCCCAAGGAAGTGGATCTAGGTGTGTAGCCAAAGTCTAAACAATTTCAATCCTATTTTCTGGTGTTCAGAGTGCTTCAGAGTCCATAATTTATCAATCCTCAACAATCCAGCAACAAAGCTAATTTATATTTCCATTCATAGTTGGGGGCTTAGAGCTGATGGACTGGGACTTGTGCAAGGCCATTCGGCAAGCAGAGCTCACACAAATGCTATATAAAGGTAAAGGTAAAGGGACCCCTGACCATTAGGTCCAGTCATGACCGACTCTGGGGTTGCAGCGCTCATCTCGCTTGATTGGCCGAGGGAGCCAGCATACAACTTCTGGGTCATGTGGCCAGCATGTCTAAGCCACTTCTGGTGATCCAGAGCAGCACACGGAAATGTCGTTTACCTTCCCGCTGGAGTGGTACCTATTTATCTACTTGCACTTTGACGTGCTTTCGAACTGCTAGGTTGGCAGGAGCTGGGACCGAGCAACGGGAGCTCACCCCGTCGCGGGGATTCGAACCGCCGACCTTCTGATCGGCAAGTCCTAGGCTCTGTGGTTTAACCTACAGCGCCACCCGTGTCCCTAAATGCTATATACCTAGTCTTAAATTGGGCCAAATTGGTATTAACAGCATGAGGCTCTTAATCTCAGGGTTGTGGGTTCAAGCCCCACGCCGGGTGAAAGATTCCTGCATTGCATGCCCCTTCCGACTCTACAATTCTTTGGAAACCCTTTGGCTCAAGCTGTATCATCCTTTCGGTTTCTGATGTTCAGCTACGAGTGCTGATGCCTCGATGCAGCCAAATGGTACCACCCACATACAAGTGGGAAGTAGAATAGAAGGCTTGGGTGAACCTTGAAGTTTACAGAAACACACACACACACACACACACACACACAGCCAGCCAGGTATTTAAAAACAAACAAACAAACAAACTAGTAGGTGGGAAAACCCCAAAGCAGCTGTTGGGGGCAGGGTTGTATAAAAATGTCCGGTAGGAGGGGAAATAGAAGAGAACATTCTGAAGAATGGCATGGCTGGCTGACTGGAATGCTGAACTGGAATGCATTCCACACTAACACTTTCCTGAAGGGCCCTCTTGTTCATATTTCTCTTCGCACCTACGTTATAGAAAACTCTGCTAAAAGGGATTCAATGGCTGCTTTTAGATCCAGCCAGGTGGAGACACTTTCCCATGGGATTATAAGAGCACCATGTGCAGCCTCAACACACCCACTGCTAATCATCCATTTTGTAGGTCTACAGTAATGCCTTGAGGGTTTGAGGTCCTGCCTGGTTGGTTAGCTCCTAGATGGCTTTAAAGCGAGGCGGGGGAGGAGATGAGACAAATTCATGGACGACAGAGCTACCAATGGTTATTATTAGCCATGGCAGCTAAATCAAACCTTCCCATACGGAGGTAGCATACCTGTGAACCCCAGGCATTCAGGAAGCACAGTAAGGAAAGACTTTTGTTTGTTTGCGGCATTTCTGAGTCTCCCCGGAGCCAGGGCTCTCTGGGTGATGTACATAACCTTCCTTATAAGCTTCCAGATGCATTTAACTGTTCTCTCTTGGAAATGGGCTGGCCTGATTTGCCAAGACAGGTCTTGTGAGTTTATATGTACAAGAGGCTCTTTAGGCGGAGCAATTGTTAAACACAAGGCTGGTGTCAAGAGTCTGGCACGGCTGGGGTCTGCCAAGGCCCATGGCGAAGTGGGAAGGCCCCTGCCAATTCCTGGAGTCTCCTGCTCTTGCTGCTCTAACTACCTGTTCACCTGCACTTTCTAAGTGAACAATCAGGGAGAGGAATGATGAGAAGGAAAATAAATATTTGCTTGCCTTGTCCTCTTTTCTCTGGAAGGTGGGGCAGGCTGGGGCCAGAGGGAGATGTAGCAAATGGGTCGTAGTGACAAGGAACAGGTGGGAACATCAGTGGGAGGTCCACCGAGAGCATCTTGCCCTAAGGTGCCCCCAAAATAAAAGCGGTGTGGGTCATGCAAGCACTTCTTGTATGGATAAGCCATCAGCTGAACACTGCAGCTTGATCAAGCAGGTCTAATTTGATCCCTGGGCAACGTGGAGTTGTTATTCTTTTAAAATAACAGTCCAGTGAGGAAGTTTCGACAGAGGCAGACAGGTGGTTAAAAAAGCTCAGCGGATATTTGAACCCAGGATTCCCTTTCAAATCTAGCATTCCTCACAGCTTCACATCTGTCATCATACGCACATGGGGGAGCTGTGTTGCTACAGTTTCACAACCGTCCTGGAGACATCAGCTATGGTTTCCACCACCACGGATGCATTCATTCATACATTCATTTTCTACGAAGGTCTAAGGCAAGAACGGACCACCAAATTGCTGGTGTGCGTTCGACTAATAAATGTAATACATCACAATCAAATGACTAGCCAAGGGTCTCGATAAGCATAGCTTCCACTTCACTTTTTTATTTTATTCTAATGGCAGCTCTCCTTATCTCTGCTCAGTCATGTTCCTCTCCCCGCAAGGCATTCGAATCTTGAGCTGGTTTGGAATTTAAGTACCACCTGGCCACCAGTCGCAGCTACATCTGAACTTGTCTGTACAATATTTTTGTTGACAAGGGAGGTTTGAAACTAACTGAAGCATGTTTGGCCAGGCTCCTATTTAATCCCGGGAAGGAGCAATGTACTAGTTAAAAGAAGACTAAATGTTGTTTTTCCTCATGGAGCAGGGCGGTGGGTATATGGACAATGAACTGCTTTTTTGATACACCTGCCAGCTGATTTCCTGTGACTGTGCGGAGACGTTCCTGTGCTCAAATGAGTGGCAAGTTTGCAACCAGCAGTTCCTTGAAAAGTTACAGGAATTCACCAGGTATTTCTGTTCGGTGTTTCACCTGAGCAGTGCATCACATTGAATCAAGCCCCTTCCAGCTCAGGGGCAGCTGACAGTATTTCTCCTTGTCCTTCTGCTCTTTTCCTGGATGTTAACAGAGGCAGCATGACTGTTTCTTAAATAAGAAAGAATTATTATACACAGGTAGGACTCTGCAGTTGGGTGCTCAGAGTTGAGGCTTGTTCTCTCACAGTTTGAGGGCCACCACAGAACGCTGCAGACTGCAGAGGGGAAGGAGTCTGTAGAAATATGTGGACAATCCTGTAAGCTGATGCCAGCAGGAATTTGGCATGCAAAACTGCCTTAGTTTATTAGACTAACTGGTTGATCTCAAGCACAGTAGTGCTTGCACAGATTGAAAGTAACTCTGGGAGGTTTCAGGTAGAAGCATTTCCAAGCCCTGCTTGCTACCTGATGGACTGGAGATGAAAGAGACTGAGGCTGGGCTGTTCTCCATCCAAGGCGAGTGCCCCGAACTATGGCTCCTCTCCCCTTTAAAGGTTGCCCCATGGAAAATCCACGTGGATGACACACACACACCAACAAAGCATTCTTGGAATGCCTCCCTCCATGGGGTTACTAGGTCCAAAGACATTATACTGGAAAAGGCAGAATGTTTCAGGACGATCCAATGGCTTACAGAAATTGCAGTTTGCCGAACTTTGGTTGCTCAAGCTCTTTCATAACCTCTCGTCGGGAAAATTCTCACGATTGCCATTCCTGAAGTCTTCTATGCAGCCAAAGACCCAGCAGTGTCAATATCTTCAGTGGTTTCCAGATGGGTTACAGATATCAAAAATTCCCTGCCTTTTTATATCCCCCTACAGCATGGGCAACCCCGGCTCATGAGATATGGAGTGAAAGCAACATAACTGTGGGCAGAAGTTCCTATTAATCTTCCAGTTGCCTGACAAATTCAATGGTAAAACTGAGAACGGAGAAAAGAGAGAGGAAAAAGCAATCTATTCTGAGCTAGGACTGTGATTGTAGCTAATTATTTATACAGCAGTTTTAGACTGCACAACACTTCACAGTGTTTAACTGTGCTGGCCCACACAACAGTCTGTGTTGCAGGAGATTATTACTCCCATTTTACAGATGAGAGACATGATGCTACTTCTGCTCTCACGGTGCCTAAATGATCCCTTAGCTCTACTAGCGCTCTGTCCCTTCCAAGGTCAGCTGTGAATACGCAGAGAAGATTGTGGAGTCCCAGAGAGACATTTCATTTACATTCATCACTGGGCTTAAAATACCATCCAAAATTAAGGGACTTTCCAGTGAAATATGCAGTCCCCTTCCATCACTTGTTTCTCCCCACCCGCCTCCAGCCACCACAGAGGCACCTCCTCCATCCCAGCTGGGGTACACCATAAAAGGCAGTATAGAAGCCCCAAACGTCTGCCTTCACAGCCACAGGGGGATATCTCTGTCTTTATTCAAGGAAACAGGCAACACTTCCCAGCAAGTCTTGCCCCTGTGGAGCAGTTGCCAGGACTGAAGGTTGCTTCCTTCCATTCTTTCTAAGGCTCCTCCTCTCCTGGATGTTTCCCAAGCAGTTTCAATCTGCGTCTGCACACCTCTGGTCTCCGTTCTGCCCTCCTCATTATTCTGTGCGTTCTTGGAGACCGGGGGGAAAGGGAGCTTGGCACAGCAGGAGCGGGAGAGTCCCTGGCTTCTTCAGCGGCCTCTTAAGCCCCCTCCTCTGCTTCAGCCTCGGAGTCTGAACTGCTCCCTTTCACCAGCTCTTCCTGCTCACTAAACCCCTTGCCCCTTCAGCACCTTCTCCCAATCCTCTTCTTCCGACTTCTCCTCAGTGTGCCACCACCATTCCCCTGGCTCTGAGCCTTCCTCCTCTAGGGTTTCCCTTGGGGGTTCCCCAACTGGTGTCTCCCTCCAATCCTCTTTGTCCACTCAGTCCCTGACATTATATCAGCAGCTTCACCCAACTATAATTTCCTGGGTTTGTTTGTGTGTGTTTTTAAGTGAGCGTGTATATTTTTTACTTTTTATCCAGGTTGATTAGGGCCTTTCACATTTACCGTATTACAATAGAACAGTATACCAAGTCCCTTAGCCTCCCTCCCTCCAACCTGATTCATGCCTTTAAAAAAAAAAAGCTGCAGTATTATCACATCTGATATTGGGTTGCTTGGCATGCTTTACGGTCCTCGGATTTGCATGCTCAGAGGTTATCCCCAGATTTCATGTCAGTTAACTTGGCATAGTCTATGACTCTGTAAATGGTTGATAGAAAGGATGCAGAAGACTACAACTTCCACCAGCCCCCGCCAGAATGGCCAATATCAAGGGATGATGGGAGTTGTAGTCCAAAACCGCCTGAATTAAAATAATATGAACATTACTCCAGCCATCTTTCTTGTGAACTTCTATTCCCTTTACTGAATTGGCTGGAAGTCACAAGGAGCCACCCTTGTGCTACAGCAAAACAGGCAAGCCTGGAAGCATTCTCAAGAGAGCATGCTAGATTATGTCAGCTCAAGAAGCACGATGATTTATTACTGGGTGTCAATGTGGTGTCCATAAGTAAGTAACAAGGATGCTCCCCACTCCCTGCAGTTTCCTTCTTCCGAGATTACAAATTACACAAAGAATTTTATGTTGTCATAAACAGGAAAAAACATGAAGCCCATCCTTCGCCCACCCTGGTTTCGGCAATGCAGTAATTGTCTTAAACGTCTTGCTCACAAACATGACAACTCTCTGTGTGCACATATTAAACCTTGCAATACTTGTAATATTCCACACTCTGAAATATTCCGCATACCCTCCAACTGCCCCC